TCATCATACTTTAAAAGTTGCATCATATTTTCAAATTTTCATTTTTTTTGCCGATTAAGACGTTATACAATAAAAAGTCTTATTAAACTCTCAAACTCTTTCGTATTAAGATATCATGTTTTGAAAATTGCATTTTTCTTCCGATTTGTTTTCTATTAAGTCATTATACTTTGAAAATTGCATTTTTCTTTAAGTTTTTTCATATTAAGTCACATACTTTAAAAAATTGCATCCTATTTTCAAAATTTTAATTTTTTTTTATATTACTAAATTGCATTAAACTTTCAAACATTTTCATATTCAGACATCATGTTTTGGAAATTGCATTTGTCTTCCAATTTTTTCATATTGAGGCATCATACTTTGCAAATTAAATCTTATTTTCAAAATTTTCAATTTTTTTACCTATTAAGATTATATACATTAAAAATTTGCATTAAACTTTCAAATATTTTCATATTCAGACATCATGTTTTGAAAATTGCATTTTTCTTCCAATTTTTTCATATTAAGTCATCATACTTTTAAAATTGCATTTTCTTTCAATTTTTTCATATTAAGTCATCGTAATTTAAAAATTCCATCTTATTTTAAGATTTTTTTTTTCAATTTTTTTACCAATTAAGAAATTATATATCACAATTTTGTATTAAAATTTCAAACTATTTCATATTAAGACATCATGTTTTGAAAATTGCATTTTTCTTTCAATTTTTTGATATTAAGTAATCATACTTTGAAAATTGCATTTTTCTTTCAATTTTTTCATATTAATTCATCATGCATTAAAAATTGCATCTTATTTTCAAATTTTTCATTTTTTTTCCCCATTAAGACATTTTCCATTACAAAATTGTATTAAATTTTCAAACTTTTCAGATTAAGATATCATGTTTTGAAAATTTCATTTTTCTTCCAATTTTTTCATATCAAGTCATCATACTTTTAAAATTGTATTTTTCTTTGAATTTTTTCATATTTGGTTAAATATACTTTAAAATTTGCATCTTATTTTTAAAATTTTTAAATTTTTTTTACCCATTACCACATAATACATTACAAAATTGTATTAAACTTTCAAACTTTTTTACCTATAAATTTTCTAAAATTTCATTTTTCTCCCAATTTTTTTCATATTAAATAATCATACTTTAAAAATTGCATTTTACATTAATTTTTTCATGTTAACTCATCATAATTTAAGAATTGCTTCTTATTTTCAAAATTTTCAAATTCTTTTACCTATTATGATCATCCATTAAAAAATATGATTAAACTTTCAAACTTTTTTCACATTAAGTCATCATGTTTTGAAATTGCATTTTTCTTCCATTTTTTTCGTATTAAGTCATCATTTTTTGAAAATTGTATTTTTCTTTCAATTTTTTCATATTAAGTTATCATACTTTAAAATTGCAAATTATTTTCAAAAATTTCAATTTTTTTACCTATTAAGACATTATAGATTACAAAATTGCATTAAACTTTCAAACTTTTTCACATTAAGAAATCAGATTTTGAAAATTGCATTTTTCTTCCAATTTTTTCATAGTAAGTCATCATATTTTGAAATTTGGATTTTCTTTCAATTTTTTCATATTAAGTCATCATAGTTTAAAATTTGCGTTTTATTTTTAAAATTTTCAAATTTTTTACCTATTAAGACATACATTATAAAATTGTCTTAAACTTTCAAACTTTTTCATATTAAGACATCAGGTTTTGAAAATTGCATTTTTCTTCCAATGTTTTCATATTAAATCATCATATTTTGAAAAGTGCATTTTCTTACAATTTTTTCATATTAAGTCATCATAATTTAAAATTTGCATCTTATTTTCAAACATTTTCAATTTTTTTTACTTATTAATACATTATACATTACAAAGTTGTATTAAACTTTCAAACTTTTTCATATTAAGACATCATGTTTTTAAAATTGCATTTTTCTTCTAATTTTTTCCAATTAAGTCATTATAATTTTTAATTTGCATTTTTCTTTCAATTTTTTCATATTAATTCATCATACTTTAAAATTTGCGTCTTATTTTCAAAACTTTCAATTTTTTTTCCCTATTAAGACATTATCCATTACAAAATTGTATTAAACTTTCAAACTTTTCATATTAAGACATCATGTTTTGAAATTTTCATTTTTCTTTCAGTTTTTTCATATTAAGTCATCAAACTTTTAAAATTGCATTTTTCTTTTAGTTTTTTCATATTAAGTTATTATACTTGTAAAAATTGCATCTTATTTTTAAATTTTTAATTTTTTTTATCTATTAAGACATTATACATTATAAAGTTGTATTAAACTTTCAAAAATTTTACCTATCAATATTTTAAAATTTGCATCTTACTTTCAAAAGTTTTAATTTTTTATACCTACTAAGGCATTATAGATTACGAAATTGTATTAAACTTTCAAAGCTTTCGATATTAAGACATCATGTTTTGAAAATTGCACTTTTCTTCCAATTTTTTCATATTAAGTCAGCATATATTGAAATTTTCATTTTTCTTGTAATTTTTTCATATTACGTCATCATACTTTAAAAATTGCTTCTTATTATCAAAATTTTCAATTTTTTTTTTACCTATTAAGACATTATAGATTACAAAATTGCATTAAACTTTCAAAGTTTTCCATATGAAGACATCATGTTTTTGAATATTGTATTTTTCTTCCAATTTTTTCATATTAAGTCATCATACTTTGAAAGTTGCATTTTTCTTTGAATTTTTTCATATTAAGTCATGATACTTTAAAAATTGAATCTTATTTTCAATTTTTTTACCTATTAAGATATTTTACATTACAAAATTGCATTAAATTTTCAAACTTTTTCTTAATTTTTACACTTGTTTTAATCTATTGAGTAGGAGAATAAGTAGGAATAATAGTCTTAAATTTAAAGAAGAAAATTTTTTAATATTAGAAAAAATAAATTAGTTCAACTGAAAACACGTAAACCTTACAATAATAGTGTAGTCATACGTTAAGTTAATTAAAATATTTCAATAAAATAAATTAAATAAAAAAGAAAAAAGAAAATTCCTGTTAGCTGACCGCTTGAGTTTCATCATTGGTGTAATGTAAGGTATATTATATCGAGTACACAAATACGAGTGCATAATTTGTGTTAAGATAAGTTCATCATCAACTTTATGAATCAACATGTTGACTTCTTACTGCATGTCTGTATTTTTCTTTTCTTGTTTTTGTCTAATTGTGTGCCTATAATTTCACTATTAGTAGCTAGGGTTCGATGAAATTATTTATTTTCTTTGTTCGGTTACTTGCATTATTATTTACTTTCGGGTAATTGATTTGAATTTTTTTTTATTAATTCCTCATAAGTGGGTTTTCATATTATTATTTATTGCTTGTGATTACATTCCTTGTTGGTGATTGAGTCTGGATGAGCATTGTTAACTTTTTTTTTAACAAATTTGTTCTTCATATTGCGGGCAGTGGTATATAAAATCCAATGGAATAAAATATTTCATACGTGGTATGTTTGTTATTACTCTATCAGATCAGGATTTAACTTTTTGAATTCTGCTGTATGGTACGTGTTTGTTATCTATGTTCCATCATTAGTTCAAAGAAAATCATGGTTGATATTCCACTCCATGATTATTAATTAAGTAGTCATGGTCATGGCATCTATCTTTTTGCATAACTAATCTATGTTTCTATTTTTTTAACAATTTCATAATTGGTCTCCCTCATCTCAAGTCAAATTTCTAAGTCATTTAATTTGTTTGGTTATTTGCAATTAATTCATCATCCCTTGTTTTGTTTTCTGGAATCTACCGGCAATTACTTTCTCTCCATTTCCGTTATCACTATATTTTATGTTTATTTATGTAATCTGTCTATCTATACTTTCCAGTGTTTTTGTTATTTGTATATTTTGTTTTAGAGTGGATGAGCATGTTTGTTCAATATATAAGATGTTGTAGTAGGTTTGTGAGTTTAGTCATGCATCATATTCTTTCTCTATCTCGGTTTTTGCTTTTAGGCATGAGACACTTTTTATGTGATTTTTATTTATTTATTTTAATAAAAAATCATTGATAAAAATCAAACCAAGGCTCTGATGCCAACTTGTAACAACCTAAAAATCAGGGGTAAAAATTTTCATTTTTATTATAGTAAAAACAGAGTTATTTTTCTAAATCCAAGCATTCCAAAAACATTGCTTAGTTAAAAAAGTTATCAGAGTTACGTCCCAAAATCACATAATGCAGAAAACACGGTGTGTGTGTGTGTGTGTTGCGATCAAGTCGGACCTTTTCTTTCCAAACTGATGATACCTGAAACCAGAAAGAAAACTATAAGCACGAAGCTTAATGAGTTCCCCAGAGCATACCCCACACAATCCACATAACCACATAATCCATATTAACTATAACAGCTACATAACCCATATCAATCACATAAGCTATGCATATAAACATATAAGGATGTCGTGGACTCCCGCCAGGGTCTTACTCCAGGATACCATGGCTTCCCACATGGTTGTACACCTAAGTGGCACGAGCTCCCCCCATGGCCTTTAATAGGAAAGCCATGGGCTCCCCCACATGGTCTTACATCTAAGCGCAATGGGCTCCCACCATGGTCTTTAATAGGAAAGCATGGGATCTCCATATGGTCTTACATCCAAGTATCATGGGCTCTCCCATGGTCTTCCATACAAGTATAACACATATACAACTAGCATACCTCTTAGCACATAACCAACTAACATGCCACATAACATTATATCAACTAGTGTACCACATATCATATAATGGGCATGTCTTGGTGCTTTTGACCCATTGGTATGGTGAGGAGACTCACTTCACACTGCTGAAGTCCCGCGGATAAAACCCTAGCTGCTGGATGACAAATTCCCGAACTGTCCATATCAAAACAACACCCAATTAATAATTGGGTTCCAATACATAACCTAACTTGGTCTAAAACCAAGATCCAAACACACACTATGAAAGGCCAAAAACCAATCAATGAAACAAGGCCCAAATATGGCCTAATTTTCCAAATTGGGCCCATGATGTCTGGTGGCAACAAAGAGGTGGTAGGAAACGGCAGTAAGTGGCAACCACAACCTCATAGTGGTGGCGATGGGTTTTCCAGATTCATAATGCACATCCTACACCGCCACTTCAGAAAACAGCTCATACTTGCGAACATATAAGCACTCAACCACTTGCAAGGCGGCAGAAACGCCGCCGACAGCAACAACAGGGGTGTTTCCCCATGTTACAAGCACCGGAAAGACAAAGGAGAGGAGAAGCTTTACTTACCGAGAGCTTCTGGTTGCTTGTGACTCACGCATCGACGCCCACAACGCGTTCCTTGGCCCTTGGCGGTTTTCTTGGCAGCTCACGACGGTTACCGCTTCACCTTTGACTTCGTCGGCGACAGGAGCGACAGTGGTGGTGTTCGACGGCCATGCGACAAGGAGGTAGCGATGGATGGAGTACGAGGGCACAAGGGTGGCGGCTGGACTTCCCGACGACGGCGGTTGAAACATGTCCCTTAGGTTTACGGTTGTGACAAAGCAACAAGGGGGTAAGGGTTACGGGGGTTAATCCTATGTCTCATCCCAAACATTTGTCCATTATTCCAATATTAGTCCCTCTTTCCAAGATCCTTTTCAATTTAAATCTGGAATTTACCCTTTAGCCCCTGTCTCTAAAAATCCTTTCATAATAAGTCCCAAAATTACCAATTAGCCCCTAGCATCCAAAAATCTATTCGATTTAAGTCCAATATTTTACCAAACACCCCCTGACCTCTTAAATTCTTTACATACCAATTTGAAAATTACACTTAACCCCCAAATATTTAAAAGTTATGACTTTTAACTCCTCGAAACCAACACCTTGCTAAAATATTATGGATTTAGAGCTACAATAAAATATATTATACATCTCGGGAGTTTAGAATTTACTATTTATCAACTCATTTTATTTAATTTCAAACGAAGTGTTACAATTGGGTTGCACCTAATCCTACATCGGCTTGGAAGGAGAAAGAAACATTTTCTTACAAGGGGTGTGGATACCTTCCTTCTCACAACACGTTTTAAAGTTGTGAGAGCAGCAAATACAATAAGAACTTTGCAGTTAAGCGTGCCCGGGCGAGAGCAATCCAGAGATTGTCTCAGAGCTAGGTCACGGGTTGATGTGTTCGACAGGGACTTCAAACCCTATAATGGGGGGTGAAGGTGGGTTGCACCTAATCCCACATCGGCATGGAAGGAAAACGAAACATTTCCTTATAAGGGGTGTGGATACATTCCTTGTCATAACGCGTTTTAAAGTTGTGAGGGCAACAAATCCCATAAGAACTTTGCAGTTAAGCGTGTCCGAGCGAGAGCAATCCAGAGATGGGTGACCCCCTTGAAAGTTTTTGTGTCGGGATCCCAAAGCGGATAATATTTTGATACGTGCCAGAGAGGGATGGTAAATTACATATTGTTTGTTTCCGTTGCACATGATTGTGTGTTTAGACACACAGAAAACCCATCAGAATTATGTCCCTAATCACACTCGATTTCACCTAGATTTTGAGCAAGGAGAAATAAACAGAGAGACACAAGATACATCACCAATAATTTGTAAGCCAACAAATAATAACAATAGAAAAAAACTCACAGATAGATCACATATACATTGTACAACTTGTGTTCATATTCAAATTATACCAATCCTAAAGACTGACAAACACATACAAAGTATACAAAGAAACGAGTTATTTGAACAAATAGTGAATTAGGACCAAGAGAACACTTACAACGGTCCAGGAACGAAAATAACCAATAAGTAGCAAAGTCAATTACCATTCAATGTAGCTCTGAATGCTAGATCCAACACTGAATACACAACAATGGAATTTGAATTCCATATATCACAATTATCAACATCAACTATTTACACCACTCTTAGGTTGATTTTCTAGTTAATGTTGGTCGTTAAAGGATATCAAATGTGTTAACACTAGCGTTTACTACTAATCAAACGTATAGGAGATACGATGCCAAATAAATTGAACTAATGCCAAAGAGCAAGAAAACTCCACACACCAGATCCATAGGATATGATGTGAGGAGAACCAAGAACACCGTTCAGAAGAACATATTTGTTGATAGAAAAAGACAATTAAACGATATTTTAAAAAAAACATAGATCTAGATATAAGAGAACGACGATTTGGAGAACCCAAAAAAAAAAACAATAAAACAAGGGGATCTAGATGAGATCTACCCAGAAACCCCTATATTGCACTGATACATCTAGATCAACACAATGCACAAAAAAATCAATCTAGCACCTCAAACAAAGCGATAAGAACAAAAACATGATCTCAATGTAAAAGAGCTAAATCTAACTTTGATACCATGCTAAAACCCATAGAATGAACTCTTATTAACTAAAAAAACAAAACAAGTACAACAAGAAACCTTACTACAATACACACTCTCACTCGGTAACTACAAGCACACAATCTTGATTAAACATATTGTAACAAGAATAACATCTAAATTGCATCAATGAAACCCTAACTACAAACCCAAAGGAAACAAGAGAGAGAGAGAGAGAGAGAGAGAGAGAGAGAGACTCATCCAACCAGTGTTATATACCCAAGTCTCCAAGTCGGTGTGAACCTGGTGCAATTTGACAAAGCAGGGTCCGCACCTTTATTGACTTTAGGAGAAACAAGTGGCGCCCCTCTCACGTCTACAATCAACACTTTCAATCCTTGCACCTTTAAGCCTCTTAAACTCCATCTTTTCTAACTTTTACACATTCTAACCTCTTTGTAAATATTTTTACTAATCACCTTAAGTTATTTATATTCAATGTCAATCTTGTACAATGTAACTTGATATTCTGAACAATTTGATGATTATTGATCCTTTTATTTTAAATTTTTTATCTATTGTGTTATCGTAATTTTTAAACTAATTATAACAATTTCCTTTTTATATTTCAAAATTTTATAGGTTCATTTATCGATCTAATCATTTATTTACATTCTTCTCAATGTTTAACAATTCAGTATACTAATTTCCATACCCAAGTTACTTATTTGCTTCTATTGATGAAATCAATTAATTA